ATGCAGAGGATGCTACTTCTCTTTAGAAGAATGGACTTTTCAGTTTCAGTGAGGTCACACAATATCTGATTACAAAACCTGAATATTTTGCCTGTGGAAAGATACACCTGCTTTCAGTATTTTCACCAAAAAGGTACAAAACAACGTTGTGAACTTCCTGAAGGGTTTATTAAGATTATAGATAATAGCCCTTTTAAATATCCAAGCTTTACCAAAAAAAATTGAGGCTTTGGAAAATATACTGGTAATGAAAGTGTTCAAATGAAAACCAGAGACCACCTAGTCAAAAATGTTGGAGGAGGCTGCAAAACTATTTTATCATTATAAAAACTTTGTAACACATCAAAGCCAAACAATAACCCTCCCTCGCCCTCATCGAGTACAAAATATCCAAAGGAGGGAGAAACTGGCCTGGAGCTAAAACTTTTCAAGGGGTCTTCTGGCAGAGGGAGAAAGAGAAAGAGACCATTCTGGGAAAGCTAAAAAAAGCTAAAATTGCCAAATCCATAGTCCAGGTGGAGACTCAGAGACCCAAGGGGATGACAGACCTAAAGAGAACTGCACCACTATGGAATGTGCTAATCTAATAAGGAAATAATCTGGGCTGGAAACTGAAAAAGCCAAAAAGAGAACTTCTCTTGCAAAGCCCAGATACTGCCCAACAACATCCCTGAAGGAGAAGCCAGAAGCTCCCTCTAGGGCAGACAAAAGATCTGAATGCCTGATATCTGAGAAAGTCCTCTCAGCCTCTGGACCTCTAAGACCTGGGGAGGCTGAATATTGCATCTCACGATCAGAACCAACCACCAGCACTGACTCCATAATAAATCCCTAAATAAATGTTGTTTGCTCTTATGCTTTGTTCCTTTCTTCTCTTCTTAGGAAGCAGCAGGCAGCAGTTCCAAAGAGTGCCCCATTTCAGCTCATAGATTCAAAGATTCTGGGTCCAAAGACTTTGAAGTCCTCCAACCCAAACCACTTAACTCCTTCTCCAAACAGATGTTAGGCTTAAACCCAAAAAATTCTTTCAACTCTGAGTAATCTGGACAAGGGGTATATCCCACAGAAAAACTACTTCTCAGGTCTTGACATCCCCAAGGCCTCTTCGGTCAGGAAGGTCTTGGGCTTATGGCTCCATGTCCTCCGGTCAAAGACCATATAGATTACACATCCAACAGGCAAATGTCCTTCTCCCAAAGTTGTCAAGTATATAGGGTACTTATCCTTAGACATTTTGTCACAGCAAAAGGAGTCCTTAAATCCCTATCTCTTTCCTTCTGCCATGGAAGGAGAATCCTAATGGGTCAAGTTACATTTTAATAATATGAACAGTAAAAACAATCCTACAAACTACTTTAACTAGTTAAACTGGAATAATCAACAGCTATATGAGAGGATAAATTAACAAGACACAGGGGAAGGAAGAGTTCCACCAACACTCAGGCTGATGGAAAGAGGAAATAAATGACAGGAGGATTTTATCCCAACAGAAGTTGTTGTATTGGATTAGAGAGCTTGATAATTTCCTGTTCTCATTTGCAAGATTGTAAGCCCTTCAAAGCCCGGGATCCTGTTTTCTTTTTTGTGTTGTACCTACCACAGTGGGGCTCTGATCTTGACTGAAATCTTTGGATGCTCTCACCATAAAAATTATTATCCCCAAAAATTCTAACCTCCTGGTATTATCTTGAGTACATGAGACTTCCTTGCTCCTACTTTCTCACTGGCTGCAGAGATCATGAGTGATTCTGGCTGAAAATGCATAGTTAAAAATAAAGCAGTTTGAGGAAACTGGGAGAATTTGTTTGCATTCTGGGCAATGAAGTGGAGTATAGGAACCCTTAGTGTTGAGGCCAGCTCTGATTTAGACACCTTTGAGAATGATTCTGATTAGGACAGATGTTCATACTATTGTCTCCAAGATGGGCTGAAAACAGAAGCCGTGATAATCACAGAATCATAGAACTGGAAGGGACCTTGAGAGGTCATCTAGTCCAGTCCCCTGCACTCAAGGCAGGACTAAGTATTATCTAGACCAGGGGTCTCAAACTCAAATGACCACGAGGGCCACATGAGGACTAGTGCATTGAACCGAGGGCCGCATCACTGACACCCCCCTTTGCTGTCTCTGGCCCCGCCCCCACTCCACCCCTTCCATTAGGCCCCGCCTCTGCCCCACCTCTTCCCACCCCTTCCCTGCAACATTCCAACCCCTTCCCCGAAGTCCCCACCCCAACGCTGCCCCCGGGGGGGGAGAAAGGGTGCAGGGTGCGGCGGGGGCTCAGGGCAGGGAGTTGAGGTGCAGGTGGTGTGCAGGGTGCGGCAGGGGGCTCAGGGCAGGGCGTTGGTAGGTGGGGTGCAAGAGGGTGAGGGGTACGGCAGGTGGCTCAGGGCAGGGAGTGCAGGAGGGGTGTGGGATGCGGCAGGGGGCTCAGGGCAGGGAGTTGGAGTGCAGGAGGGGTGTGGGATGTGGCAGGGGGCTCAGGGCAGGGAGTTGGGGTGCAGAAGGGGTGCAGGGTGCGAGCTCCAGCCCAGCGCCACTTACCTAGAGCGGCTCCGGGGTGGCAGTGGCACGCACTGGGGCCAGGGCAGGCTCCCTGCCTGCCTGCCCTGGCCCCCAGCCCCACACCACTCCGTTCTAGGAAGCAGCTGGAACCATGTCCCTGCAGCCCCTGGGGGAGGGAGGGGGGCCTCAGGGTTCCGTGCGTGCGCTGCTCTTGCCGCACCTCTAGGTACCTCCCACAAAGCTCCCATTGGCTGCGGTTCCCTGTTCCCGGCCAATGGGAGCTGCAGGGGGCGGTGCCTGGAAGGAGGCAATGCAGGAGCCCTCTGCTTCTTCCCCCACTTCCCCAGCCCGAAGGGGAATGCTGCCAGCTGCTTCACAGAGCGGCGCGGGGCTTGCAACGCCACAGGGGGCAATCCCGTGGGTAGGCAGAGGGGCGACGGGGGACGCGGGGAGCTTGGCGGGCCACACGCAAGAGCCCCGCGGGCCGCCGCGTGTTTGAGACCCCTGATCTAGACCATCCCTGACAGGTGTTTGTCCAACCTCTCTTAAAAATCCCCAGTGATGGAGATTCCGCAACCTCCTTAAGCAATTTATTCCAGTGCTTAACCACCCTGACAGTTAGGAAGTTTTTCCTAATGTCCAATCTAAACCACCCTTGCTGCAATTTAAGCCCATTGCTTCTTGTCCTATCCTCAGAGGTTAAGAACAACAATTTTTCTCCCTCCTCCTTGTAACCACCTTTTATGTACTTGAAAACTGTTATGTCCCCCTCTCAATCTTCTCTTCTCCAGACTAAACAAACCCAATTTTTTCAATCTTCCCTCATAGGTCATGTTTTCTAGAACTTTAATCATTTTTGTTGCTCTTCTCTGGACTGTCTCCAATTTCTCCACATCTTTCCTGAAATGTGGCGCCCAGAACTGGACACAATACTCCAGTTGAGGCCTAATCAGCACAGAGTAGAGCGGAAGAATTACTTCTTGTGTCTTGCTTACAATACTCCTGCTAATACATACCAGAATGATGTTTGCTTTTTTTGCAACAGCGTTACACTGTTGACTCATATTTAGCTTGTGATCCCCTATGATCCCCAGATCCCTTTCCGCAGTACTCCTTCCTAGGCAGTCATTTCCCATTTTGTATGTGTGCAACGGATTGTTCCTTCCTAAGTGGAGTACTTCGCATTTGTCCTTATTGAATTTCATCCTATTTACTTCAGACTATTTCTCCAGTTTGTGCAGATCATTTTGAATTTTAATCCTATCCTCCAAAGCACTTGCAACCCCTCCCAGCTTGGTATTGTCCGCAAACTTTATAAGTGTACTCTCTATGCCATTATCTAAATCACTGATGAAGATATTGAACAGAACCGGACCCAGAACCGATCCCTGCGGTTCTCCACCTTCTGACATAAAAAATTGCCTCCAATACATTCCAAGAACTTGTTGGATAATCTGTGCCCTGACTTGTTATTTTCGCAAGAGATGTCTGGGTAGTTGAAGTTCCCCATCACCACCAAGTCCTGTGCTTTGGATGATTTTGTTAGTTGTTTAAAAAAAAGCCTCATCCATCTCTTCTTCCTGGTTTGGTGGTCTGTAGACCCCCTACCATGACATCACCATCATCGTGACATAATGTTGCACAATGGCATGGACCTAGCAGTATAAAACTCAATTTTAGTACAATTTAACCTAAAAATAATAATAATCAAGAACTATATATAAATAATTTAAAGAGTAAGGGCAGTTGAGATGAAAGGGGACAGACCTTGCTCTGTCAGCTTGAACAAATGAGGAGTCTCACTCAGGGGCAGGATCTCTTTAAACCTCCTCCTCACCCTGCATGCTAGTACAAAATATGTTTTCCTCCTTAATTAATAGTGTTTATACATACAGCATATTACATCTCTGCTCCAGAAACACTAATTGTTTCAATTTGTTTGGGGGTTCAATTCAAGGTGTTTGCTTTGCCCACTGAAGTCCTTCATGGTTTGGTCATGTCATGTGCACTTAACAGCCTATGTCTGCCTCCCCTTGTGCCATTACCCAAGCTGGAGGCAAGCTGTTGGTTCTTACATTTGTTTGTCTGGAGCAGGTCATTCTCAGTAGAGGGCCCTTGACTCTGGAACATGCTTTTCTTCTTGGCCTGACAAGCAAAGTTTGCATCTTTTAGGGCATGCTGAAAGGCCAATAGATTTACTCTGATTTTTTTTTTTGGAGGGGTAGTTGAGTGGGATGGGTTTTACTTTTTCTTTCTGATCAGGGGGTTCAGGGAGTTTAGCTGCTATTTAACATGTTTACTTAATGTTAATTTTACATGTAGCAAGAGGAATTTTGATTAGTGCACAATATACATTTAAATAAATAAGGTCAAGAGAATGGTAGCTTTATAATTCATCACATAATTTCAGTTTTCTTCTTACACCTGTTCAGTGTAGAGAGTGAATGGTAAAATGCCAAATGCAACATATACATTATTATTATCTTAGTTTTACCTGCTTCAGCAAATTCACAAAAAGGAACTCCTGGTCTCTCTTCCTTGGAGTCTCTTGTTAGTATGTCAGCAATATATAAAGTCAATTTCTGAAGGTCACCAAAATTTTCACATCGTATTCTCATATTAACATACAAAGTTCCCAATTTGGCCCAGTCACTTTTTTCTTTACAGTGCTGTTAAAAGTCAAATAATAAATGTAAATAAGTTTGCTACAAAACACCATACAGTTATTAGTTATTATAACTCAGATGGTACAGCTGGCAGGAACTATTAGGTGCTCAAAATGCACCTTGTACAAATTCTCCTTTTATATTCTCAAACATGTTATCTAACCTTCTGAACATTTCCCTCAATGATGTCTCAATCAGCTCTTAGAGTAGGCTGTTTTATTGCTCTTATTTTGTCCAGATCAGATAAGAAAGCTAGTTTTTCCTAACTTCAATTTAAAAACAGTAATTCTTGTAATACATCTGACTAGCCACAAGTAGGTCATCCCCCCTTTGTATTATTTCCTTTCAAATGTTCATACTGTTTTAACTCCATTTCTTTATGATTCTATTAGTATCTCCTCATGTATCATGTCTTCCAACCCTGTTTTCTTTGTTGTTATTCTTCATGCTGTTTTATTTCCAGCCTTTTTTCAGTGAAAAACCCCTAACTGAACTAAAATGAGGTCCCCGTCATTATTGGCAAAGGAACATTAATGGTATTATATGCAATACTTCAGTATGCACATTCCAGGTATTTTGTTATAGCCTCACATTGTAAAGTTTTTATAATCTGCTTTCCATGTCTGTTATGCATGTTCAACCGACTTAAATGTTTTTCTGCAATGTTTCTATCACATTCTCCCATTTTATATTTTTGTTTAATATTGACCCTTTCCAAATGTATACAATTAGAGTTGTTTATCAAACCAGCCCTTCAAAATGTAAGTCTTTATTTTTCTTGTATCATATACTGTGTTTGCTATATATGGAGTTTCTGAATCATCTCAAAATTTGATCAAACTGATAGCCTCACAAACCAGATAAATTTATAAACATATTAAATATCTTTTTCCAAAACATACACTCAAAGTTCTGTTCTACTCTGAAAAGTGACTTTAAAAAAGTATCATTGTGTGGTTTCATGTTTAGTGTCTCCATTTTCATACTGAATTTACTCAGTTTTACAAGTAAAAAGAGTTACTAGAAGTAACATTTTCTCTTGAAAATTGAGCAAATGTCATTTGGAAATAATTGCTAAAACACAAACCTCTTAATGTATATTTGTTTAAACAGACACACTTTTCAGAGAACACCACCACATATATATCAGTTCTGGTGTATTTATTGCCCTCTAGGCAGACTAGGGCCTGGTCTACACTAGGAAATTAGGTCAGTATAACTATGTCGCTCAGGGGTGTGAAAAACCCACATGCCGGGTGACGCAGTAAAACTGACCTAATGTCTGGTGTAGACAATACTAGGTCAACAGGAGAATTCCCCCCTCAACCTAGCTACCACCTCTTGGGGAAGTGGAGTACCTATGCCAATGGGAGAAGCCCTCCCATCGACACAGTTAGTGTCTTCACTGAAGTGCTCCAGCGGCACAGCTGCACTGGTGCAGCTGTCTCACTGTAATGGTTTATGTGCAGACAAGCCCTAGGGGTAGAGTTGAGGTGCAAAACCAGCCAATAACTACACAAGCTGGAACTCATCTGCCCCTTCAAAACAGTTAGTTATACAATTTCCTATTTGAAATACAGGAAGAAAGAGAATGGTGTTTGTTCCCAGAAAAAATGGTTACCTACCTTTCATAACTGTTGTTCTTTGAGATGTGTTGCTCATGTTCATTCCAAGTAGGTGTCTGTGCACCACGTGCACAGTCATTGGAAGGTTTTTCCCTTAGCGGTACCCGTTGGGTTGGCTGTAGAGCTGCCTGGAGTGGTGCCTTTATGGCAGTGTATATAGGTCCCTGCCAACCCGCTGCCTCTTCAAGTTCCTTCTTGCCGGATACTCCGAGAAAGGGGAGGCGGAGGGGTCTTGGAATGGACATGAGCAACACATCTCAAAGAACAACAGTTACGAAAGTTAGGTAACTTTTTTTTTTTTTCTTCGAGTGATTGCTCATGTCAATTCCAAGTAGGTGACTTCCAAGCAGTTCCCCAGAGAGGTCGGAGTTCACCAAGTTGCAGACTGAAGCACTGCTCTACCAAATGCAGCATTGTCTCTAGCCTGTTGAGTGATGGTATAGTGCGACGTTAAGGTGTGAATCGACGACCACGTCGCCGCCCTGCAGATGTCCTGAATGGGGACCTGAGCCAGGAACACTGCAGAGGAAGTTTTCCCACTCTTGTAGAGTGCGCTGTCAACGGTGGAGACGGAATCTTTGCCGAGACATAGTACGTCCTGATACAGGCCGTGATCCAAGAGGAGATTCTTTGGGATGAGACAGGAAGACCTTTCATCCTCTCAGCAATGGCCATGAAGAGCTGTGTCGACCTTCTAACCGGCTTTGCCCGCTCAATGTAAAAAGCTAGCGTGCGTCTAACGTCCAGGGACTGAAGCATGTTAGCATGTACTTGAGGCAGAACACCAGCAGAAAGATGTCCTGATTCACGTGAAATTGCGAGACTACCTTTGGGAGGAAAGCCGTGTGTGGTTGTAACTGCACCTTGTCCTTATAAAACATGGAATAAAGGGGCTTGGACGTCAGAGCCTTGAGCTCAGACACTTTTCTGATTAATGTTATAGCCATTAGGAATGCTACTTTCCACGAAAGGTAAAGGAGAGAACAAGTTGCCAGGGGCTCGAAGGGAGGGTCCATCAGCCTAGAGAGCACCAAACTGAGAACCCATGGGGGGATCGGTTGCTGTACTTTAGGGTACAGTCTGTCTACACCCTTGAGAAAAGGGCCGATGATAGGGTTAGCAAACTCCGAGTGGCCCACTGCACCAGGGTGGGAAGCTGAAATCGCAGCCAGGTGAATCTTTATTGATGATATTGCCAACCCCTGCTGCTTTTAACTGGAGTAAATAGTCCAGGATGAAGGGAATTGAGTTCTGCAATGGAGGAGTGCCCTTCTGAAGTGACCAAATTGAAAACCTCTTCCACTTAGCCAGATAAGTGGCACCAGTGGAAGCTTTCTGCTGCTGAGGAGAACCTCCCTAACCAAGTCTGAGCATGCAAGCTCCAACGTGTTTAGCCATGGAGTTTCCATGCCGTGAGGTGGAGAGACTCCATGTTGGGGTGCTAGAGGCGGCCGTGGTCCTGGGTGATCAAGTCCAGAACCAGGGGCAGAGTTATAGGTGTGTCCAGGAACAGGTCCAGCAGCGTGGTGAACCAGTGCTGACGTGGCTACGCTGGAGCTATCAAGATTAATGACACTTTGTCCTGTCGGAGCTTGATGAGGACTTTGTGGATGAGATAGAACAGTGGGAATGCATACAGCAAGCTCCCTTTCCAGAAAAGGAAGAAGGCGTCCATGAGCAAGCCTTCACTGTGATTCAGGAAGGAGCAGAACTGCTGAACCTTCCTGTTGTATCACAAACAGGTCTATCTGGGGAGAGCCCCACCTTTGGAAAATACTGATGGCAACATCCAGGTGAAGAGACCACACGTGACCGTGAAAGGACCTGCTGAGGTGGTTGGCCAGTTCGTTCTGTGAACCCGGAAGGTGCGAGGCCTCCAATTGTAGTGAGTAGGCAATGCAAAATTCCTACAGCTTGGGGGGTTCTGGGGGGGGGGGGGGGGGGGGGAGAAGCGAGCACCATCCTGTCTGTTTATATAAACATCGTTGTGGTGTTGTCTGTCAATACTGACACACATCTGCCCTGAAGATGGGTTTGAAATGTCTGACAAGCAAGGCGCACTGCACACATCTCCTTGAGGTTGATATGCAGCAAAAGTTCTGCCTGGGACCATAGACCTTGAGTCCTGAGGTTGCCTAAGTGTGCTCCCCATCCCATTGCCAACACATCCTTGACTAGTGACAGCATCGGCTGAGGTTTGGAGAAGGGTATTCCCGCACATACTGTTTGTGGGTTGAGCCACCACTGGAGGTACTCGAGAACCTGAGGGGTAAGAGTGACCAGTCTGTCCAGGTGGTCTCAGTTCAGCCTGTAGAGTTGGGCCAGACAAGCCTGAAGGGGACAAAGCCGCAGTCTGGAGTGCTGTACCACATATGTGCAAGCAGCCATATGTCTCAGTAATTTTAGGTAATCCCACGCCGCTGTGGTGGGGAATCTGCTGACGCTCATGGCGAGGAAATGAGTTTCCAGAAGAAAAGCCCTGGCCTGGGTGCAGTCTAGCAGGATTCTGATAAACTCTATCCTCTAAGTGGGGGTTATAGTTGACTTTACAATGTTCAGAATGAGGCCAAGCCTGAGGAATGTCAAGCGCATCAGACTCACATGGTCCTCCACCTGGGCCTGAGATGGGCCCTTGATTAGCCAGTTGTCCAGATAGGGAAATACCTGCACCTGCTGCTTCTGTAGGAATGCTGCCACAACTGCCATGCACTTGGTGAATACCCGAGGAGCCGCCAAGAGGCTGAAGGGGAGGACCATGAACTGATAGTGGATGTTTACCACGAATCGAAGAAATCTTCTGTGGGATGGAATTATGGAGATGTGAAAATATGTGTCCTTCAAAGTCTAGGGCAGCGTACCAGTCCCCCAGATCCAGAGAGGGGATGATGGATGCCAGGGAGACCATGCAGAACTTCAACGTCTTTATGAATCTGTTGAGATTTTGCAGGTCTCAAATAGGCCTAAGCCCACCCTTAGCCTTGGGAATTACGAAATAACGGGAGTAGAAACCCTTGCCCCTGAATTCCAGAGGGACAGGGTGGGTGGGTCAAGAATATCCCAATTCTGCCATGTTCAGGACCCACCAGTCTGAGGTTATTTGGGGCCAAGCACGGTAGACAAGGGATAGATGGGTCACAAAAGGTGGGAAAGGATCTGGGTGCGTCGCCCCCGGGCACACCTTCAAAAAGTTTTATTGGAAGCTGGAGACTGCCTCGTCGAGCCCTGGCCCTGGTTCGAGGATGACTGCGGAGGCCTTTGCCTATTACTCCTACCCCGTTTCCTGCTATAGTCCTGTCTCTGCTGAGAGGGGTAGAAGGGAGGCGGGGGCTGAGGCTTAAAATGCTTCCTCTGCAGGGCTGGCATGTGGAGGCCCAGCGA